AATTATATATTTCATAAGCTATTTAGTTGTTAATACAAGCCAGCTTCCCATAATAGACTAATACTAGTCTAATCTCTCTTATATACTATATATATCATATACTCATATATTAGCTCATAACCTACGATAAATATTTATAATTAAATAATATTAAGAAATAATCTTTTCTAATATATTTAATATAGCTATGCTCTAATAATCTAAATAAAGATTGTATTTAATTAAATTCTAATTTAAAAATCTAATATTATATTAGAATTAGTTGTTTTTATTTTATTTTATATAAAAGATAATATTAAAAACATATAATGTTATAAGAAAATATATAAATAATCAATAACAACTAATAATCATTAATATAGAATATTCAATTTATAAATTCTTTAATTATATTAGTATATAATCTGTTTTTCGTAATTTTTATATTAAGATTATTTGTTTTCTTATATATTATAAATATAAATAATATAAGAAACAAATAATATTATATGAATACTTATCTTTTAATAATAATAAATTAATTTTTCATTATATATATTGAAAGGTTTATATGTTAGTAATTTGAACTTTTATTATTAGATTATGATATTATATTAAAGTTATTTGTTTTTTATATACGATATTATAAGAAATTAAGAAAGAAAACAAATATCATAAATAATATATTTATATATTAATAAAAATCATTAATAGTAAAAAAAATTCTATATGTTTTCTATAATTTTATTAAATTGATATTTCAGATGTTTTGTTTATTTAACTTTTATTATTAGAATATAATATACTATTAATATTATTTGTTTTTTCTTTTATTACTAATTATTATATATAAGAAAACAAATAATATTTAATAGTTATTTATAATTTACTAATAAAAATAATTCATCTGGTTTACATAATTAATATTTCAATAATATTTATATAAGTATTATTTAATTTATTATTAGATAAAGAACTGTATTGAATCTATTTTAATATGTTGTGTATATATGAGAAAAATATAAAAAACATATAATATTAGTAGAATTTTTATCTTTTAGTAATAATAATTATTATTAATATATTTTATTTTTTACTACTAATATAATAGAGTAGAAGGTAATAGGATTATAGAGTAGTATAACGAATATTATATAATATATATAATGACTTATAATAGTCTTAAGTTTAAGACTAGCTTGAACTAGACGATTATTATTATATAAGAGATAAAGAGATTCTTTATCAATTTTTTCTTTTTTAGCTTTCTTATTTTCGTTATTTAATTTTTATAATATGTTCTAGTATATAGTAATGATAATTAGTCCCTTTTATATATTACAGAAAAATTACTATAGATATTGTAACGAATATCACGTGATATACGTGATGACTCATTACAGCTAAATTCAAGGCTAGCTTGAACTAGGCGATTATTATTATATAAAAGATAAAGAGATTCCTTAAGAAACTCTTTCCTCTTTAGCTTTTTTATACTAGTTATTTGATCTTTATGATATATTCTAGTATTTAATTATAATAGATATAGCGTATCTAATAAAGAAGAAGAATAAGAGACTTTAGCTAATGTTTTATAATATATAGAGGAAATTAAGTTAATAGGAATTGACTACTTTTTTTAAACTATATTACAATTATATAATAAAGTATATTATAAAGATTAAATAATTAGAATAAAAAGCTAAAAAGAAAAGAGATTTTTAAGGGATTTCGTTATCTCTTATATAATAATAATTATCTAGTTTAAGCTAGTTTTGAAGTTGAGACTATAATAAGTTATTATATATATTATATAATATTCGTTATAAACTATACAAAGAGAATCTATAAATACTAGCTATAATAGAGATACGTAACTAGTATATTTTTTCCGCGCATACTAATACTTAATATACTATTAAGTTTATTTGTTTTTTTTATTAACATCTTTAATAGCTTTATTTATCTATATATATGTTTTATAATAATAATTATTAAGTTTTATTTACATATTCGAGTAGATTGACTTAATTATTTTACTTTTATTTCTAGAATATAATATTATATTAATATTATTTGTTTTTTGAGATATAGTATATAGCAATAAGAGAAAAAACAAATAAAAAGTAATAATTTTTTGATATATTACTAAATATTTAATTAAACTTGAATCTCTAATATTTAATATCTAATATTAGATTATTATTATTTGTTTTTCAAAAAGTTAAATAAGAAGAAAATATTAAAAACATATAATATTATATATATATATATGATTTTGTTATAATAATTAATAATCTTCTATATATTTTACAAATTCATATTTAGATAATATAAGTAAAAACTATAACTAATCAATTTTTAACACTAATATTTAATATCATTTGTTTCCTTTTATAAAATATATTGAAATAAGAAAGAAAATAGATAATATTTATCAATTATTTATAATTACAAATAATCACTAATAGTCTTTTACAGATAATCTATATTTTGATTAAATTTCAATCAGTATTGATATCTAATATAAATTTTATTGAATTAATTATTTAAAAAGATATTGGATATTATTTGTTTTGTTATATATTATATATAAAAACAATATAAAAAACATGTAATATTAATAATAAATTCATATTTTAGTAATAGTATATAATCAATAATTATATTTCCTCTATAATTTAATATTTAATATATTAAATCTTTAGTATTAATATTAATATTAATATAATATGTAGTTTAGTCGTTTTTCTATAAAATAAACAGAAAAATAAGAAGAAAAACAAATAATATTTCTCTATATCTATATATGTCTGTTATAATAAAAACTATTCAATTTTCTTTTCATATTTTGAAGAATTTGTATTATTTATTTAAATTTTATTATCAAAATACAATATAATATTAATATTATTTGTTTTCTCATGTAAAATATATAACAACTCGATAGAAAACAAATAATATTCAATAATTTTGTATAATTTCATAATAATAATTAATAGTCTTTGAAAAAATATTCTATATATCTAATTAAACATTAATATTCAATATCTAATATAGATATAAATTTTATGTAATTTAGTTTTAAAAACTATACTTAATACTATCTGTTTTATTATATCTTGTATATAAAAGAATTATAAAAAACATATAATATTAATAAGAAGTTTATATTTTAATAATAATACTTAATTAATAAGAGTTTCCCCTTTATAATTTATTAATAATATATTTTACCTTTTAATAATAATATTAAGTAAATTATTAACTTTATTTGTTTTTAAAGAAATACAGAAAAAAAGAAGAAAGAAAACAAAAAAAATGTATATTTTAAGAAAATGAATAAATATTAAATCTTTTTCTATATATCTTATAAGATTTTATTGAATTAATATTAATAATTATTTCTTTTATTTAATTTTCATTATTAGAATATAACATAATATTAATATTACTTGTTTTCTATCTATAACATATAAAAATCACAAAGAAAACAAATAATATTCAATAATTATTTATAACTTTATAATAAATATTCTATATGTTTAATTAAATTTCAGTATCTAATATCCAAAATAAATATAGCTATTATTTACTTTTTTATTAAAAGATATATCATATATTATTTATTTCATTTGATATTATATATAAACACAATATAAAAAAACAAATAATATTGATAAAACATTTACATTTTAATAATAATATATAAATAATAATAATTTCTCCTTTATAATTTAATATTTCATATATTAAATCTTTAATCTAAATATCAAGTAAAATATTTAATTTATTTGTTTTTCTCTAAATTAAATATAAAAACATAATTAAAATTACACAATATTATATAGAATTTTATAATAACAATTAGTAATTATTTTCTATAAAAAACACATAGATCTTATTTCATTTATTCTCAATATCAATATTCAGTATTAATAATATTTCTCTTTTTATAAATTAAATACAAAAATCATATTAAAAATATATAATATTTTATATATATCTAACGTTTTATAATAATAATTAATAATCCTTTCTATATATTCTATGTACTTATATCTAGATAATATAAATAAAGTTTATATACATATAAATACTTAATCCTTGAAATTAACAAACGCTTATTTACATACAATCTTATTATTTCAAATAGATAAAGTATCTCTCGATTATACTCTTAATCCTCAAGCTGACTTTGATATATTAGAGAGAGATTGAAATTTAAGAATTATATTAATATATAGATATTATATCGTAATGAATAAATAGATTAAAGAGTAAACCTTTCTTTTCACTAACTAATAGAATGTATAGTAGAAGAATTAAAAATATTATAAGCGTGATAATTATCCCGGTAGAGTTACGGTATACTCATTAGAAGAATCTCTTTCTTCTTTACTTGTTATTAATTCTTTATCTACAGTAGTCATTACCTATACAATATTTATTTTATTACAATAAAGTAATAAAGTATTATCCAAACCCAAAATTAGATTCAGACTCAGACTCAAACTCAACTCAAATTTCAATCACAAAGTCACATCAATAAAACTCAATCACCATACACTTCTCATACAATCCTTACAAACTCCTCGTATATGAAATAAATACAGAGATCGATATAGTACTCACTGTGTCGACTATATACTCAGAGAAGGAAATCCTCAAACTTTGTATATTATATTTGTATTTGTATTTATCACTATCACTGTTGTCTTTACAATTCACGTCATGTTATCATTAGGAAATATTTTAGTTAATTGTATTTTTTATTTTTTTTTTGTTGTAAGGGGATTTGAAATTGTAAGGGGATTTGATATGAGGGAGGTTGACATGAGGAAATTTGACATGAGGAAATTTGAATGTAAGGAAGTTTGACATGAGGAAATTTATTCCGAGGAAATAGATTCGAGAGAGATTCGAAAGAAATATAAAGTAAGGAAATTCAAGTACGAATAAACAAATAGACAGAAAATAAGAAATAAGAAATAAAAAACCTACCTCTTACCCACCTAAATCTAAACCGTTCCAAACCCTCCCTCATCACCTCTCTGCCAACTATTTTCCGGCTCCGGGGCCGCACTAGTTGTATCTTCCTCTTCTTCCTCTTCTTCCTCTTCTTCCTCTTCTTCCTCTTCTTCCTCTTCTTCCTCTTCTTCCTCTTCTTCCTCTTCTTCCTCTTCTTCCTCTTCTTCCTCTTCTTCCTCTTCTTCCTCTTCTTCCTCTTCTTCCTCTTCTTCCTCTTCTTCCTCTTCTTCCTCTTCTTCCTCTTCTTCTTCCTCCTCCTCCTCCTTCCTCTTCTTCTCCGCAGCCTCTTCTCTTGCCTTCAAAATCTTCGCAATAGCAAACTCCATCCTCCTCTTCTTCTCCGCCTCTATCCGCTCTATTTCCTTCTCCATCTCCTCCTCCTCCTCCTCCTCCAACTTTCTCCTCGCTCTCTCATCCGCCTCCCATATATCCCTAAACCTCCTTCTCTCCGCTATCCTCGGATCCCTAGCCGGCACAATCGCATTCGGATCCGTCTCCGGACCAAACACCACCTCCCCGGGACTAACATCCTCCTCGACCTGCACCTGGGTTCTCGCCGCCGCCGAAAACGGATTCTGCACACCCTCCGGCTCATACAGATACTGAGCATCACCTCTCCGCCAGAGCTCCAGCATCTCCAGCGCCGTCAGCGCAACCCCCTCATCGGAACTCGCCGCCAATCCTTCCAGTCTCACAATCTCCCCTTCGGCGAGTTGGCCGCGCCACCAGCGATCGTCGGCCGCTTCGAATTCCTCCACGGTGTGCGCGCGCGCGGGAAAAAGTCCTTGGAGTTTCGTCCCGCGGTTGCGATGATCGATGGTGAAATTGTATCCCAAGAGACGTTTCTTGATGGTCGGCGACACTTCGTACAATTGGCGGCCGCGCAGCATGCGTGCGAGGCCTTCGGAGCGAGGTAGTAGTTCGTGGTCCTCGCTCCAGGGTTCGCCGATGGTGCTTTCGAGGGCGTCTGTTAGGGCGGCGGCGTGGTATTCGTTGATGAAGGGGACGGGGCCAGGATACGGGTTGCGATTAGGATCCATTCCTGCGCCTGAAGGGGCGTATTCGAGGAAGGGGGAGGAGGGCGCGCGGAAGAGGCGGTGGAAGGGACGTCCGAGGAAGTTGGATGTGTTGGGGGCGAGGGCTTCGATTTCTTCAGGGGTAGTACCTTGAAGGAGATGCGAGTGTTGGTCTTGAGTGCGCTTGGTGAATTTGACAGCGCCGGGGAGAGCGCGGAGAGGAGGATGACGAACCGGTTTGAGATATCCAATCCCGGGTTTGAGATTACGGATTAATTCTTCCTGGCGTGTTTGCTCTTCCGCACGTTTCTTCTCTTCCTCGAGGACTTTCGTCTCTTCGCTTACCTCTTCTCCATCTACGCCTCTCCATCCCTCTGGCTTCCACACTTCTTCTTCCTGCGGCCCCAAGTCCGTAAACTCGGGTTTGGAGCCCGCGCTTCTATCGCTCGGGGCTCTCTCGCTTCCGATATCCATGCTACTCTTTTTTCTATTTTTTTCCGCCTTCTCTTCAAACTCTCGTTTTCTCTCCTCTTCCTTCTTCACCGCCTCTGCTTTCCCTCTCTTATTCTCCTCCTGCCAAAATTTCGCCGTAAACGCGCGAGCCTTGGCGGCTTCGCGTTCATAGTGAGATAAAGTGAGGGAAACAGATTCGGTGCTAGAATTGGTACTTGAAGAGGAGGAAGAAGAAGGGACTCGGAATCCGGTGCGCGGGGTGGGAGTAGGTTTCGATTCCGCGACATCTGGTTTCTCGGAAGAAACATCAGAAATGGGTATCTCGATTGCCACTCCAGGGTTCGGACGCGTAGGAAAAGATTCTGGAGAGTCGGATTTTTTGCTAGATGGATTTGCTGATGAGGGTTCGGGTGGGGGTTGGGGATGACTTACCTTTGTGGAAGGAGAAGAAGAAGGATCGGAAAATCCGACATCGATGTCGAATTGTGATAGATCAACTGGTGTTGCTACCACACCTTCTGGTTTCTTCTCTTCAGGTTTCTCAACCGGTTTCTCGGGAGTAATAGATTTAGGATTGAAAGGATCGAAACGACCTGATTTCGAACCCGAAGATGATTTTGATGAAGGTGAAGAATTATCATCTTCTCCATCATCATTATTATCGTCGTTATCGTTATCATTATCATTATGATCCTCATCAACAGGTATAACATACTCGCTCGGAGCCTGCGTATACCAATGATTATAAACTCCATTTTCCAACCACCTACCTTTTCGATTCTCGTAGTACAGTGCCGGGCCCTCTAGTTTCAAAACTCTCAGTAAATCCACCAAGCCACACCACTCCTCTCCAAAAACAGGTCTATACATAACCCCACCGGGTTCATATCTTCCTCTCCCAGTAATCCTCTGATTCCTCTCCCCTCTCTCCCACATCTCCCCCTTCACTCTCGAAAGCAACTCCCCAAACCCCCAAGGATCAGGACTCCGCGAGTACACCACCAACCCCACCAAAACCCTCACCCAATTCCCCACCACCTCCGCATCCAACGACGCCTCATGTCCGCGAAACTCAATCGTATCCGGCAAAACCCTGTCGCGCGGTCTCGTCTCCGTTCCCATGCGATCAAAATTCCACGCCGTCTTATGTCCCACAAACGAATGCGCACCTGCGGCCCCCTCACTCGCCACACACGTACGAAAAGCATCTCTGCTTTCGCACGCTAGCAGCGTCGCGATGGTTTCGAGCACGCGCGGGGATCGATTAAAATCCTGCTTGTATTTCCACTGGAAATACGTGTTTCCGCGGAAAGAGACACAATGATCGTTTCGGGAATCGATACGATGTTCCGGGTGAATGGAATCGAATTGCGGTTCGAAGGCTTGGATCATAGCGCCCAGACGACGGAGGTGCGGGAGGGTAAATCCCTGCGTTCCGTAGCCGACGTGGACGTGGAGACCGCATGATTTGTTGACGGTGACGAGGTAGTTTTTGCGCATGATTTTACAGAAATCGGCAATGTCTCGGAGCGCATCTTCGCAGTAGTAGTATGCGGGAGTGCGGACTTCGATGGGGTAATAAGTGTAAGCTTGCCAATCGGCGTAGGCTTTTTTGTGGCGACGGTGAGGGGGTTTGGGAGGCGTGATGGAGCCGTCTCGAGTGATTTCCCACATGGCGAAATTGGAATGGGCTTTTTCGGGTTCGGTGGGGAGACCAATGGAGGCGAGACTACGTTTGATGTGTGCGTAGATTGACCATTCGTTGGCCCAGTCTTCTTTTCCGACGGGGATTCGGAAGTAGGCTGGTGCGTTATCTTCGGGGGTGGAGGGGAAGTAGACAGTTCGTGGATCGGAGGGGTTGGGGTTTTCGATAGAGGGTTTAGCGAGAACGGCGATGAGGAATTCGAATTCGATTCCAAAGGAGGGGGTGTCGGGTGACACCGGGGTCTTCTTGGGGACGTGTACGATATTCATTTCTGCTTTGTTTATGTAACTCTATATATGTGTATGTTTTGTAGTGATCAATCTATTGATCGTGTATATCTATAACTAGTGTAATGTGAGTAGGTGAACTAGAATGTGAACTTACTAGTACGAATTGTAAAATGTAGAATAGACCAGCTAATTGTAATTTTAGTTATAGTATTTAGATATCAGTTCGATTGATAGAAAGATATAATAGAATGACTGTTGTGAAGTTATCTTGAATTCTTGAGTGAAGAAAGGGGGACAGTCAAAGTTTAAGTACTCAAATAAAGATGATGAAGACAATGGCTTGTGAGGAGAGGATAAAGAGATGAATGAAGGTTGAAAGAGAGAGAAAACAAGATGAAAGATAGATAGATATTCATTGTTGATAGACAAAGGTATTAGTAGGAAGAGATCCATCACTCACTAGAGAAAGATGGATAACTTTCCATTGTCAATGGACAAAGACATCAACACAAAGAATCAATCTTGCTCATGAATCCCTTTTAAAGAACAAGAAATCCGGGAAGAAATCCCAACTATCAAAAATGAAACTATTCCAACAAACCCTCAAATCTCTCTCCATCCCCCACAAACAAATCCTCATCTTCCTTCTCTCCTTTACTTCCCTCCTGACCATCAAACAACTCAGCCATTCCACACAAACAATCTCCATCGCTGCAACAACCCCCCACAAACAACCCCCACAGGCAACTTTTGCCCCCCAAGAAATCCCCCCAAAAGCCGGCCCTGATTCCAGCTCAAGCGCAGCCTCCACCCAAGCGCGCCCAGCCCAAAGCCAACACCGTCAAACCCCCAAGAACAAATCTCCCAAAGTTTATCCAACTCCTCATAAATAATTCTCTCCTTTTGAATCCTCTCCTTCCCTTATCACAATTATTCAATCATTCAATATCTTAACCACTAAATATTTCAACCCTACACCTCATCTCCCTCTCTCAATCTCTCAATCTTTCAATTTTTCAATTTCTCAATTTCTCAATCTTTCAATCTTTCAATCTTTCAATCTCTCAATCTCTCAATCTCTCAATCTCTCAATCTCTCAATCTCTCAATCTCTCAATCTCTCAATCTCTCAATCTCTCAATCTCTCAATCTCTCAATCTCTCAATCTCTCAATCTCTCAATCTCTCAATCTCTCAATCTCTCAATCTCTCAATCTCTCAATCTCTCAATCTCTCAATCTCTCAATCTCTCAATCTCTCAATCTCTCAATCTCTCAATCTCTCAATCTCTCAATCTCTCAATTCCCTTTCCCTCTCCCACCCCTCATCCCCTCATCTTCCCCCATCTTCCCCCATCTTCCCTCTCCCTCTCCCTCTCCCTCTCCCTCTCCCACCCCTCATTCCCCCATCTTCCCTCTCCCTCTCCCACCCCTCATTCCCCCATCTTCCCTCACCTTCCCTCTCCCTCATCTTCCCTTCTCCTCCCTCATCTTCCCTTCTCCTATTCTCCAACCCTCCAACCAAAAGAAAGTATCAAAACCCACTCCCCACCTATGTACCTACCTACCTCCCTACCTATCTACGGAATCATATATATCCATATATATATGATATGGATATGGATATACATACATATAAGTCCTCAATGGTAATTGTAATGGTAATTGAAATAGTATACCCCATTTACCTTCCTTTCCTCCTCCCCCACGTAATATCTGTGAAGTATAGCTTGTCTAAGAACAAAGAAACCAATAGAAAGCATATCTCGAGATTTCATTGAGATTGTGCTGAACACTTGTTTGCCGTTATCATTACAATCCCCAACTTGATCTTTCGTAGAATAAACAAAACAGTATCTTACTCAAAGCAAAAGATAATCAAAAGTTTCTGACACGCACAATCGCATTATTGTATATACTATGCTATGCTACGCCAGTCAGTATATGAATATGGTATGTATTGAAGTCGAGCTCAATCAGCTACCATTCTCCAATCTCATCTCAATCATTAATCATCCCCCTTGACCGTTATTAAAATATCTGCTATAATAAAACCAGCAGCTCAGCCACTTCACACATGCCTTCAAAGACATTTAATGGATATACATCGATGTAGAAACGTGAAAACCACGAGCCATAAACACCAATGCTAATCAGAAAAAGAAAAGGGACAACAAAAACACGCGCTAAAAGCAAAAACAATGAGGTGGAAGCGTAAAAATTATACACATAATCATCATCGGATGATTCAAAAAAAATCTCATGCTCTTTGTAAAGATACAAAGAGCATGGTAATTATTCCCAAATCCATCGTCCGAACTTCCTTTTTAAAGCATCAGACCAAAGACAGCAGCAACACCTGCCGCGAAGATACCGGTACCATATTCACGACCAATGTTCAAAGCTGAAGCGGCGGCAGAAGAGGTAGCAGCGGCAGAAGCGCTGGTAGCGGATGCAGCGGAAGTACCAGTGGCGGTTGCAGAGGCGGTCGAACTTGCGGAAGTGGTGGCAGGGGCGGTGTAGTTATCTGGATCCAATTGACCGCAGTTCTTTGCTTCGGTCTCCCTGCAAAGCTTTTGAGCGGCGGCATCGTTCTCACCTGCGGCGATGCAGTTGGCGAAAACGGTTTCGCAAATGTAGGTTGGCAAGGTTTGTGTGTAGTATTGAAGACCTGGAGTGGATCCGTTGGAAGAACATGTGCAGGTGTAGTTCAAGGAATCCTGAAAAGAATGTCAAGTCAGCATGTGTGAAGCATTCAACTGAAGATCGAGCGAGAATTCTAGTGAGAATGAATTTTACTTACAGTGTCACAGGAATTGGCATCGACTGCACCACTACATAAAGTGCCACAAGTGTTGATCTCGGCGGTACACCATTGAGCTGTGATTTGGTATCAGTATACCTTAATTCTTCAAGGCATAGATTCACAAGAGAACGTACATCTGGTAACGGCGTCAATAGTGCTTGGTACAATGGTATCGTTGGAAGATTGAGCTGCAACGAGAGCAACGATGCTAAGACCGACGATTGACTTGATAAACATCTTGGTGGGAGGTGGTGAGATTTTGTTGGGAGTGTAGAACGTTGATTATTAAGTATTCGTAGAAAGGTTGAAGATGGAGAGATTGAAGTTATTCGGAGATCTTTTTATTGGACGATGATGGGGAGAGAATATGGATTGTTGAGATTTATTAGAAAAAGATGGAGGAGGAGGAAGGGAACAGGAACAGGAAGAGGAATTGGCGATGGAATTTATTATTTATTAATCGATTAATTAGAGAAGGTGGTTGGGGTGCAGTACGGAGTATGTATTTGATTTTAGAATTTATCGTGAAAATGTATTGGCACTGGCTCGAATGGGAGGAAATGCAAAGAGGTGAGTGAAAGTGAATAAAAGTATCTAGGACCTCTACCTAGTCGTAATTTATTAGGCAAGTACTAGGCAAAAGTACCAGGCAAAAGTACCAATGGCAAAATTCCAAAGGTAAAAAGATCCCAAAGAGGTTACCATCGGAGAATACCAGGGTGAAGATAGGTGGAAAGCGGGAAAGCCATGATCGTATTGGGTTAGACGGTGGATCCATTGGTAAGGTGAGGACGAATCAATGGACTAAATTGTATGACTAACTGAGATAAGGTTAGCTCGTCAATCTATCTGGATTCTCTCCACGTCAATCCTTGCTCATGTGTTGCATTAGCTTGAGTGGTTTGAGTGGTTGGACTGTTTTTTTGCTGTTGACTTTGATGATTTTGATAACTTGAATGCCTTTCGGTACCTGTCTGGCGTAGCAGATATGTTGCCAAGCTTATCTCCTACTAGGTACGGTCACACGTTCTTCACCTTTGATCCAATCAACCAATCAACCAATGAGAGATGAAACTCGTGTTGTTGTCATTGTTGTCATTGTCGTCGCTGGCTGGGGATTTTTAATATTACTGGTACGATACACTTGCCTGACTTGTGAGTTTCCTTTCTCGTATTTCATTTGACCTTACTCTCCTCCTCGTTGTCGTCGTCGTCGTCGTCTTCTCTATTACTAATAGTTATATCTTCTTTTTCGGTACCGACTTATTCAATACCTACTAGGTAATAAGTACTATCAAAGTTACAATTAAGTACACAATAATATATAATACTCCCCCTCATCTCATTCCCTTTTTTTCATCAAGGGGGTTCATTCTCGGTACTAAACTCAATTAAGTATTGCCTTCGGAGCAAAATGGTAAAATGGAGTCTTGAGATCCGTGACCTGGTCAAAAATGAAATTACTTTGCAACTTTTTCTTTCCTTTCTTGAAGTTTCTTCCCTTTCTTCCGTTCACTTCATCCACCCTTCTCTACCCTTCCCTTCCCTTCCGTTCCCTTCCCCCCCCCTTCCTCCTTTCTTATCGCATTTTTATCACTCAAGAGTCAAAATTCCCATCACAACCAAATCGTTCCTGATTTGAGACGCTAAAAAGCTTGTTCTTTTCATTCTACAAGGATTCAATTGATTGCCCGTATGAGTTAAAGTGGACTGATTTGAACATGAACAACCCAAGTCCATCTAGTATCTTTTTTCTACCTAATAAGTCATTTTTCCTTCCATTCTTATCGGAAATGATTAATCGCCCGCCCTAAAAAGCATTTGGTCTTACCAGCATTCCATCCTCTCTCGATTGAAGTCGTTGGTGTTTGATGTTTGATGAATGTGAAATGGTAAGTGAGTGAGTGAGTGATCAGCTTAATAACGCTCCGCTGGGCCACTGCCGTGGAGGCTTCTTCGCTTCGCTCTGATGATCGGATCTGATAGAATCTGTACTCGTACTCTGTATTCAGCATCGTCTCAGCATCCATGGTCATTGGTTCAAGAGCAATATGTACCTTGATTGTATTTTCACTGAAGCAACCGGGAAGCTGCTCACGGCAATTGTGGCTACTCGAAGCTAATATAGATTGGGTTAGATGGAAAATATCCACTTCTTCGCGACAGTTACACCTTTTCCTCTGTTTACATCCGAGATCTCTTCAAAGGTACAACACAACTTACACAAGACTCTAGT